TCTCTTTGGGACAGTAAGAGCAGCCTGGGGGCGAGGTTGCGTTGGCACAGGCGCTTGAAGTCGATCTCATACTGCCTGCCACTGCTCTTGACCTTTCAGCAGGAAAGGCTTCCCCAAAAAGAAGGACAGGGGCCCATTCTGCCGCTTGCACCTTGGAAGGTAACATGCCGGGCGTCAATATCAAGCATGCTGAGTTAGATCATTGGGAGGTGATTGGGAGGGCCTTCTAAGGACCAGAATTCAGGCTACAGGCCTCATGTGCCTCAACTCCAGACCACATAGACCTATAGTGCACAGCCAGGGGAGCCTGTGGGAACCTTAAGCGGTACATGTAGAAGGTACTACTCCTTAAGACATAAAAAAAACTCTGAGAAACTCCCAGATTGTTTTCTCGGGTCCTCAAGTTTCAGATCCGGACTCTGGATGCCAGCAAGGATAGAGGTTCGATCAATGTTCGTTATCTACTCCCTATGCTCCCCTTGCCCCTACAACGAAAGCCTCCACCCTGAACCCTCCAGAACTGTGGATCCCTGAGCCTGCGTATGTGGAAGTCCGGCTAGCTGGGCAGCTCGCAGAATGTCCTATGAAGCAAGCGAGAAGAGCAATGGTAGGCTGAAGGGTTGGGGTTTGGGATCACGCTCGAGGGCCTGGGTTTAAATAGGCCCCACCTGGAGCTGTATGTTGGAGTGCACAATTGGACGAGAGAGCACCTTCTGTAGCAGCAGGAAGAATGTAAGAAGAAGATGAAGTAGCAAGCATTATTGTTATCTGGACAACCCGGCACCCCAAACGCCTAGGCCTAAACAAGGGGCTGCCGACCTCGGTCCCTTAGTTTCCAGTGGGGCCTGCGCCGAATCCTCAAAAGGTTGCCACTGGTCATCGTCCACCTGGGCATTGGATGTCTTTATGGTTTATCCAGGATGCTTCATCCTATGATAGGCATACTCTCCACCACGCGGGCTCATCCATAATGAAAGCATGAACTGGCACACACGTCACATAGCCGGGGTTCAAGCAGCTACTGCTCGGAAGAGGCCACCCCTGAACCCAAAGCTCTCGTGTAAGCCTTAGACTGGGATATGACACTTAACGTCTCTTGAAACCATATCCTTGAACACGAAGATCTCACCTTAACTCTAAACAATGACGTCTAACTGCAGGCTCCAGTGGCGCGAACCTCCCAAAGCTCCTCCGGAGGAGCAGGCTTTGGAAGGTCCACCTCACAGCACGTGTCTCGGGGCCCTGACATGGGTTCTCAAGAACGAGTTCGTTTGAACCCCAGAAAACTACATATAAACAGAAGAATATCATATGAGGGCCCTCTTTGATGTCATGTACGTTACATCTTGAGAAACACTCACAGGATCTCAGGGTCAGGGCTTGACGCCAGGTGTAGGGCTTTAGGCGGGTCTGGGTTTTTTATTGTAGGTGGGTTTGTAGTCGAGCTCATGCAGAGACCCAGCAAAGCACAAAAACTTAAGGAACATGGTAGTTTCCCAAAATAGGGGGACCCCAATATAGACCCCAAAATACAATATTCCTTATTATGGGGATCCCCAAAAAGGTACCCCTAATTTAGGGAAACCCCTACATACATTATAGGCAAAGACAACTTCTACACGGGCCATCCCACAGGACCCTTTATTGGGGATCTTATACCTACATAGGGCCAACCTACATGAGAGACGATGACCTATCCTCATGTTTCACGGCATGCGCTGTCCCCCACCGTGCTTTTGAGAGCTTGTTTCTGACCAAACAAAAAGCAAAGGTGGCAGGTTAAAGGAGGGAAGATCAAAAGGAACTGATTTGGAAGCTGGCCCGTAGACATGGGCCTACGGTTGATATGGAATCATGGTATTGTGCCCCACCATCTGCAGGGCAATTTGTTGGAACGTAACGTTCCCGGCCACTGTGAATGACCAGATGGATGTGGTTGCCTTTCCCACATCACCCGTTCAACCTCCCGATGCCTAGTTTAACACCAATAAAAATAACAACAATTATCCCAGTGTCCATTCCATTTTCCATGTTCTTTTCCACTTGATTCTCCATTATTGGAATATTAGCCCTATCTAATATCTAAACCCTGAATCTCAATCATTCCTGCCAGCAGCACCGGGAAGAGATCGTCATCCGCGTCCGGCAATTCTTCCAGAGACGCATCAATGACGTAGGGAGTGAGGCCCCCAGGGCAAAAGGAGTAGGACAGGAGCCTCTCCTCGGCCCCAGGTGGCTCGCAAAGTGGTGGTGGGTTACATCATAGCTGGAAGGATCCCATGCCAGGAGTCATGGGTAAGAGGCCTGGGGAACAATTCTTACCCATGTCCTAAGAACTGAAACATCAAGGCCCTCTAGACCCACAGTCCAGAGGTCAGAATCCTAAACCTCAAGTCCCAAGCTCTCGTCTCAGCCCAGAACTTAAAACCTAACCCCTTAGCCTAAAATCCTTATGCCCAAAGCTTTTTTTTTCGTGCAAACTTTGAGCTGCCTGCACAATCATAAAGACCCGAAATTGGTACAGCTTAAGCCCAAAATCCTTGAGCTCTAACGCCCCTGACCTTGAGTCCTGAAAAGCCTAAACCTTAAGCCCTGAAATCCCGGATCATCCTATAAGCTCACCTGCCCCTACAACCCCTTTAATAAAGGAACTCAAAACACCCCTACATCCCTTTTAAGGAGTCCCTAAATATCCCCCTAGGTCCACTGCAAAGGGTTCCTAAAACGGACCAAAGCTCCACCATGGTCCAGCAGCGACGATCAAAGTCTGGAGTTCGCCACACCAGCACCTCTTTGGTTAGGGTTAAGGTTCAGGGGTTAATGCCCTCCACCCCCGCGTAATACATAATACCCCTAGTATAGTACCATAGCAAAGTATTAGAGGGAGGTTGGAATTAGGGACATGTATGCAGCAGAGGAAGGGGCAAGAAAATGGGAACTTCCAAAACCTCGAGGATTCAAAAGGGACTACACAAAGGAACTCTTTTTCCTTTCCCCACTCACAATCAGTAAGCTGTTGGTCTTCTGGGAATTGCTGAAAACTATAGTCCCCCTTAAGTAGATAGAATATGGCTTTGGGTATATTATAATAAGATCCCCCTATACCCCATATTCTATCTACTTAAGGGGGACTATATCCCTAAATATTCCTAGAGGTGGCACCTAAGGTCTCCTTGTATACTTCCCACATATCCCTAAGCCCACTGGTTCTTTGTACCTCTTTTTCACCTTGTGGCAGTCCTTTGGGGGGAGAAAATGTTGTATTCAAGGCTTGTCCAGCCGGACCTGAAATGTTTGAACAATCAAGAGTAGAGCCAGCTCAGGATTAGAGACTTTTGTGGGTGCGTCAGCAACGCTAATGATGAAAGACAGTGCGCAAGGGCACGTATGCCTGCTTCTAGATTTGGTAGAAGTCCGGGTAAACAAAGTACAAAGCTCTAGCGGTATCTATGACAACAGATACAAGAGACCATAGGATATCACCTGGTCATACGCAGGTTTGTCACTGCCCAGGTGGAAGCTAGGATTGCGAAATATGCCCTCCAGCACAACATGGTCGCGATCATCAAGTGCCCCTCCTTGGTGCACGCCGCAATGTATAGTGGCAGTGCCGCCATGGCCAAGTCGGCTCCAAAGAAATCGTCCTCCCGCGATCTTCCGACTTTGGAGGTTAGAGTTTATGAGGGAGGGTGGCAAGGGGCAGGGTTTCTAAGGGTGAGGGTCGGAGTTGAATTTACAGGGGTTATTATAGGGTTCAAGGTTTTACAGTTCTAGTTTTTGGATTTCTGTTTGAATTTGGGGGCAGAACATTGGCATTGTATCCGCATTTCGCACCCTGGGCGCTCCTCCTTTCTTGCTGCAGCTCTACCCACGTACATGATCCCAGATTTTTGGGCGCTGCAAATATAACCAAAGCATCAGCAACACCTCGAGCATAGCGGTCATTCGGGTATGTCCCACTTGCGGGGTGGACTGTAGGAATTCCTGGGGAAACCCTGACCGTGCTCTCCTGTTCGCAGCAACAGTAGTCGATCCAGAACGCGACTTCGCACCTCGACATCAGGGCCTCAAAATCGGCCTTTCCACGGTAATTACTATTATTACCCAGATTAGCATTACTACTTTTGCTGCTGCTGCTACTGCTGCTACTACTACTACTACTGCTGCTACTACTACTGCTGCTACTACTACTACTACTGCTACTACTACTACTACCTGTGCTACTGCTACTGCTACTGCTATTACTATTGCTGCTGTATTACTCGTGTCCTATGTCTTCCGTGGCAAATAGGAACATCTGCCCTCGGGATCCTTCTTCTGCCTTGTCTCTACCCACATGGGCTATAGTCGAAACTCCTAGCATACCTCTTAATCAGCCTGAGAATGGTCTCCCATAAAATCCCCTACATAACCCTCTTTAAGGAGTTTAGACTACAACTCACATCGATACACGGGGCGGCGCGTTGGTAATGGCACGCTTTAGCAGAGGCACTGCACACCAGCAGCTGATGCCATCCGCATGAACCACTTCGCGAAGGTCACAAGCTTGCGAGCCTCTGTCTTTCTGACAGAAGCACCAACTTTTTGTGCAATTGATCCCTTCCCTTAATTCTAAACAACGTCCCCCTCCTGTAATATTGAATCATCCGGGACCCGGAAAATTACTTAACAAGGGGGTTGTTTATTGCAAGAATTGGATAGGGCTGCCTTTAAAGTCCTGTTAGACTCCAGGAAGAACATATGATTAACGAATTAAATCAATTAGTAAATCACATTGATTAACACACGATGTTCTATTTAATGGAGACTACTTATTTAAATGAATTGAATAGCTAGTTCATAACTCCAACCCCCCTAATGCATTATTTGGTGGCCCCTTTTTTGTTCATAGTCTTGCCCTTTTAAAAGTGCTCTTCCGGATGTTTACGGCCCTGATTTTTCTGGAACAAGGGGTTGATGTTAGGGACAAGGGATTATTGCTTCTCAGCTTGGCTAGCCGGTTAGCCAACTTCTGGCATTTCCAAAACACAACAAGAGCTTTCAATTACACTGCTCTTCTGTTTGCTGCTTGCGGGGCATGTCTTCCTCCAAGGCTGGACGGATGCTGCTGTCAAATGCAAAGGATTCTTCTTCATGGTCTTACTACCAAGGCAAGGAGTCAATGTCTCACAAAGGGGAAACCCATTGACGTACTCATTGGACAGCAGGTCTCCCCAAAACCTGGAAATGGCCTTGATGTTCTCCATAGAGTCGGGGTGGCCCTTCTGGACTCCCGCTGTGCGCAGCCATCGGTGTGAGAGGAGGAAGACGACTAGCTGACGCTCCGCGGCATCCCGCCCAACGCCCAGGCGGTCCTTGGCAAAGCTCTTGCCAGACAAAGGCGCTGCAGCATATGTTCACAGCAGCATGTTACAAAATGATGATAGCAGATGCAAATCTGAGTGCTCATGCTGTGCTTCTTTTGCTGCTCGGCGTCTTCCACTTCATCCAGAAGCTCCTCCACAGAGGTGGCGCCTCCAGAATCCACGTTGTACTTGGGAAGCTGTCCCGCAGCCGCAATCTTAGACCAATGGATGAGCCGAAGAGGCGGTGCCTCTGGGCAGTCCAGAATCCACCAAGACTTCTTCTCCAAGCCAGCCTTCACGAAGTGGCGGTTTGAGAGGAGCTGCTGCACGTGCTGGCGCACGCTAGCAATGCGCAAGGCATGGCTGACGTTTGTCCGGAGTTGGTAAACACTGGTCAGGGTGGATGCATCCAGGCCAGTTGAGTTTGCCAGGTCTACCAGAGAGCGCAAGCGCTTTGGCATCTGGTAGTGCAGATACCGATGGTAGAAAGGAAGTGACCTGGCAGCATTTGCAACACCGTGGAACAAGCTTTGCGCAGCCAAAGCGTACCTATCCAACCCCTCAGCCAGGCGCAAAAGTCGGTCCCCTTGACAGAAGGAACGGTGGCCTATACCTTCGATTCACTACAACCCAGGTGTCGTCAGGCAGAGTGGCCCAACATCCAGCGCTTGAGCATGAGGCCTTTTAAGCGGATAAGTGCTCAAGGACATTTTAAGTGCCAGTGGAACCTACAGGACGGCCTAGCAGTGCATGTTGGAAAAAACTGAGCTCAGGCCTGCAAAGCAAACCCTGCAAATTTGACGACGCACGGGTTCTACAACCTTGTATAAGCATTTTGACCCTTCCCCCTTTTCCTCTCCGCGCTCCCCAAATTTGAGATCTGAGCCCTGGACCAGCCCCGCAGGTGTGCCCTTGCCAAGGTGTAAGCCTTGGATCTGCTCTCAATGGTATAGTCCCCCTCAAGTAGATATGGGGTATATAAGTGGGGTCATATAAGAAAATGGAAAAGAAAATGGAAACTACTACATTATAATAGGGTATGTATTGGGGTTATAGTCCCCCTCAAGTAGATAGAATATGGCTTTGGGTATATTGTGATTATAATAAGATCCCCATATATCCCATATTCTATCTACGTAAGGGGGACTATAAGACCACCCTGCGGCTCACCCCCCTGCCAGGCGCCGCAACTCTGTCTTAAGCACCCTGAAAACATCTGGATGGAACGTTTGGCAAGTCTTTATGTCCCAAATAAGTAGTTCCCTGAGACGCGGAGAGCCAGGAAGCCCCGCTGTCGATGCTGCGCACCAGGTACTCCAGCTTGTGCAACTTCCTTGCCTTTCTTTGCACTCAGTGTAAGTCCCACACCCAAATTACAAAGCAAGAGGTATCTGCGCACACTTCAAGAGCTACGTTGAACTCTTCTCTGGTAAACCACGTACCTAGAAGGGCAAACAGCTTTAAATTCGAAGTTGCTTTACACATTGCAGGCTCTCCCCCATGCACAGCCCCCAAAACGAAATAGTCCAGCAAGGGCCCATGAGTTTGAGAGATGCCTCCATCCCCTTTCTTGCTGGCTGTTAGCAGGAAATGGCCATCCCTACATAATCCCCAAACAAAACGAAGCTTTTCGCTTTCTGTCCCTCCTCCCCTATCAGCAACCAGGGGGCTGCCCACCACTTCTCCGAGCGGGCTTTGGCCTGAACCTGGCAGCAGGGGGTTGTAAGGGGAAACTTACTTCAAGCACGGCTAAAGGATGATGGCAATACGAATAGAGGGCCACAATGAAGTACCTCGCGAGGCTTTTGTCCCTAACACCCCTACTGACCTACTGTTTCCCTGCCATGCCAGCCGGAGACCTGTTGATGGACATGGCGCGCTGCTTCCAACCAGAGGTCGTCGTCGGAGTCCACCACTGGGCGCAGGAGGGCCCCATCCTTTGCATCATGCTCACCCACGGCGCGCATTTCTTCAAAGCTACAGCAGGAGTATGACCTTCAATACCAGGGTGTCCATTGCGATCAAACTGATGGTATGCATTCGGAACGTACCTTTCCATTTATTCTCCCCCCAGGGGTGAGCCCTGAACGCAGCTTGGCGTCTCCGCCTGGAAGGAAGCGGCGAGTGAAGTTGTAGCCTTCGACTACGAAGTCAGGTTTTCAGCACGTTGTCCACCAACCAATGAAAGTGTATACCAAGTGCACACTGCAACTGAACACTGCTATCAGCTATCTGATCATGGATCAACCACCCGAGTTAGCTCTTTGCCGAGCTAGCCAGCCCTTAATGGCAGGCACGGAAGTACAGCGACCATTCCGAAGTATCAAGCACCCCAAGTAGCTTTCCAATTTCTCCAGCGTCTGTCGCTTGATGTTCCTGAAGCAAAGGCGCCGCAGCCACCAAACCTGACTGCAGTGCGTGCTGCGGCATGAGGCAGACCTGCCTGCCAAGCCCATGAATCTGCACACTCTCATGCTTTCAAGTCAACGGAGCTCATGTAGCACAGCTCTCCTACTATCTGTGGACCACACTACAAGCCCCCGGCTCCCCACGTCCCGTGTCAGCTGAGAGGCGAAGGAGGCCAAGGCAACCGTTGACAAGATGATGGCGACGCCTTCCAGCCACAGTGATTTCAAGGGCTCTACTCCGCATCGTCCCTAGCCGTTGGCGACAGTGTTGTGCTAGTGCTACTACTTCTGCTTGTTCTTCTTCTTCCGGGTGCCCGTGCTCAGAACAACCAGTACGAACAAAGACAATCATAGGCAATAATCATGCAACAACATCATCCGCATCCTCATCTCATCATCATTTTTGTCGTCATCATCATCACTATCATCAGCATAACAACTTTGTCATCATCAGCATGTTATGACCACCCTACTCAACAGTGTGAGTACCATGATTTCCTGGCTGACCTCGGATGGCATTGGAATGCTTCTTCTCATGCAGCTGCATTTACAAACCATTCGGAGGGCTGCTCAAGGAAGCTTGCAGGCCCATCATCCAGAAAACTTGCTGTCATATGTGTGGGATCCCTCAATACCGCATTGTCCAACACCTGAAACAAGTAGATGCGGAAAAATCCAGAGTTTCTCCCGGTCAATGTGTGCTCCCCATACTCCCCGGTAAGCCCCTAGGCGGTTCAGACATGAATGTCTGATTTTACACTGGCCCGGAGACCATGAGGTGCCTATGGTCGAGTTTGTGATGGTGTCCTCAACGACTTTCTCGCGCGCTTCCAGACCCAGAAGCGTTGTCAGGCCGTTGGAATCACAACCTTACGATGTAGTCGTTAGACTGCGCTGCTCTTGAAATAGCGTTCCGGGTACGAGCCAGGTATCTTGTACAGTATCATAGCAACAAAGCCGGCATAAGTGCAGGTATAATTCTACTTGCATCTGCGTCTTTGGAACGATCACGCACAAATCCTGAGGTCGGCAATGGAAGCTAGACCTATCAGGTCCTCTTGGTCCACATAGCAGCTCATCGAACCACATGCCCCTGCCCTCGCCCCCGGAGTTCCCATCGAACCCAGCTGTGACAAAAGGACATCTTGCTGGATTTCAGAGATGCCAACTGGTGCAAATGTCCTTAATCCACCCTTTCTGTCTTCCCCCCCCCAAAAAAGAACCTTTACTTAAACCCACGTAGTAGCCAAGACATCCCGAACCCTACACCTAGCCGAGGCACCCCAATAGAATTCCCACCACTCTCGGTTGTCCGGGCAAGGATCACCAGATGGAGAACAAGCAGATATCCATGGGAAGGTCGACAGGCAGCCTTTCCAGAGGTTTGCCATCTGTAATGTGACGTTCTAGGAGCCCCCATAGAATCAGGAACATTCTTTTTCTGGCAATAGAGGGCCATCATGGGCCATCAGATTTCTGAAACAAAGGCATGAGTACTTGTCCCTGTGTCTGTCAGATGCCGATTCAGTTTTGACATTGTTAAGAACTAGCATCGGAAGTAAAGCTACTTTGCCTGGAAGCCACTCCCAATGTCCTGCAAAGGCGCTGTGTTGCTTGGTTACTTCATGTGAGAGTTGTCTCAAATTGTGCAGGCTTTGGGAAGTCAGGACATCAAGTTTGAGATCTGACATGAAGAAGCCCTACAGCAGAGAACAGCTTGACGCACAATCCGAGCAGCGATACAGCAGGACGGCCAACACGAACCACGGGATCCGCAAAAGCGGAATCCTGCAGTGACAAAGCCACAAGTTGTGCTCGAAACCCTAAATGTAAATTCCATGAAGGGCTGCCTTGTGTACTCTCAATATTCTGGAAGCGCTGCCCATGACGGTGCGCAGGCGGGCATCAGATCCACCCAATGCACTGCTTGAAGGAGAGCAGTCATTCTGAAATCCGTGTCTGCTGTGGGGTCTACCAGGCTGAGAGTCGTCTCCAACAGTCACAGCCAAAACCACGCCAGCATACAACTAATGGTTCCCTACATCCTGCAACCGCATGCTACGAAGTAGTATAGTCTCCTGAAGTACCCCTCATTCCCATCCCCCCTTCCCCTTCCCGGGATGTCACGCGGCACAACGGGAAGGCGGCGAGCACCCTTGCACGAAGATGGGATGGCACGAGGCTTCAGGTTGACACGGCTTTGCTCCGTAAGTCTTCCTAGGATCTCTTAAACATAAGGCGGCTGGCAGAGTTTGCTTAATGCTCAGTTTGAAGAACTCAATTGCGAGTGCTGGGAGACCTTCCAAGCTAGCAATCTGAAGCACCTCGGGGAGTTAAAGGTGCTCTGCATGCCCTCAACCACTCAGAGCTTCAGGCCCTGCCGGGGGCAGTTAGGTTCACATCCTGCCTGTACCAAAGCCAGTCTCGAACCTCCGGGATGCACTGGACCACAATGGTGAAAGACAGCCTCAGGCTACTTAACCACATCAAGAACAGGTCATCAGGTCCCGCGCGATGAGATTCCTAGCATAGCAAATAGTTTCGGATAACTTACACATTGCCATGAACAAGCTGGTTCGGTGTTGACTGATCGTACGCACATCGTGCATTTAAGAATAAGAAACGTTGAAAAATGCACTCCAAAATCTAGGGCGATACGTGCTTCCTGGGAACGAGAGCATTCTAAGGGCACCAGGAATTCATGAGAGGTTTACACGGCAACTTCCTCATACTTTAGGGCAGGGCTAAAAATATGGACCCTGGGTAAGCATACTACAACACTCGGCTTATCTACAGTGGTGGCGATGAGAGACTATAGAATACCACTTTCAAAGGACCCTGTCAGGGCGATTCAAGAATGCACTGACCTTAGAACATCCTGATGTTTTTGCATTTATGCTGCGTTTTCTGTACAGAGTCAGGAATGTCCTTCAGTTAAAACGGCCCTATTCAGGTCTTTCAATACGTCTCTCCCCGGCATGAGCACATAAGTCGGCCTGGGGATACGTTACCAGGGGAGGGGGCGGGATGTGCTTCATTATTTGGGCCGAAGCGATTACTAGGAGTCCATGCGCTAAGACGGCAATCAACGGACCCCTTATTGATTGAAATCTAAGTCCTTGGCTCTACCTGGCCTGCTTCATACCAATCCATCCCCTACGCGCACAGTCTGCATCACTAAACTCTCATAGGCTGCCTGAATTATGCCAGAGACGCAGAAGAGAGGTGGCGATGGAGGTCGTCACCCATAACTTGTCCGCAAATGCCGCCTTCAGCTTTGAGATCCGCCAGCTTGCAGTGTTCCACGCTGCTAAGCAGTTTTGAGATTTTGGCGAGCTTTGCAATTTTATCCGTACGGTGATTTTGACTTGATCCTGAACGTCCCTTCGGGCTTAGGGGCGCGTGGGTTCAGTGAACAAGGTTATTGAGAAAGCCGCACTGCCCTCCTTCGCAAAATCAAGCCTTATTTCCATGATAATGCGACTGGTGCATGAGGTGTTTCAAGCACCTTACGGGGAGCAGGTTGTTGTACTTCTCATGGTAGCAACACAGCATTGGGGATAGGATCTGGGATGGGCCGCTGCGATTTTTCCACAGCTCTTACGCATCATACGATAAAGTGGCCTTGCTTGACTTGATATCTTTACTGCACGAGTATTTCCTGCAATCTACGACGCTCATGACTTTTCATCCCTCCACAGTCCTCATCGTAGAAAATCAAGAAGACGGCTTGCAAGGCACTCTGCTCCACATCCTCGAGCAGGGCACAATGGAGCATTGTTTTGTTCCCTTTATCAACTTTCTTTACTAGCAAGGAAGGCCTACGCCGACACTGTTTGCCCTGCGGTAGCAGACTACGCGGACTGCGCATGCCTGCTCATACTATTCAACTAACTATACGCGAGCTACGCGGCGGATCTGGCTCCTTGCCTTCTAGAGCAGCTAAACCACGCAAACTACGCGGGTAAGAAAACCTACGCATAACTGCACGAGCAATTATTGCAGCTTCATTTCCATGAGTTGCAAAACTCTGTGGGTCCTTGTTCAAAGGTGTCACTGCAACAGTTACAAGGTTTGATGCTAAGCCAATATGGGTGGGTGGATGAGTATTAGAATACCCGCTGGAGAACCGCTACACTCTGCTTGGCAGCCTCGAAGATGAAGCGGAGGAAGGCAATCCGCGCTTCTGAGAGCTTCCTCGCTGGCAGCTCCATCGCGATGAGCATGCTAGCATCAACCGTATGGTATGTTCATATATGCGAGTAAGAGAAATAGAAGTGTTAGAAGTAATCATCGTCCTCGTCGCGGAAATCATCATCGTCGTCGTGGCGGTCGTCGCCGCCGCCGCCGTCGTCGTCGTCGGTCGGGGTCGCGGTCATGTTTGCCTTCGTGGTGGTGGTCGTGGTCGGGGTTGTGGTGGTGGCGGTGGTGGTCGTGGTCGGGGTCGCGGCTTTTGATGACGTTGTGGTTGTTGTGGTTGCGGTTGTGTTGTGGTTGTTGTGCAGTTGCGTTTGCAGTTGCGGTTGCTGTGGTGGTGGTTGTTGTCGTCGTTGTCGTGGTGCTCGTGCTCCTGCTGGCAATGGCGGAAACGGTGGTGGTGACCGTGGCCGCTGTGGGGGCGGCGGCTGTGGCGGTGACGGTACGAGCAGCAGGAGTAGTAGCAGCATTGTCACAGCAGCAACAGCAGACTATGAAAGTCGCTTCCAAGCGCACAGAAAAGCTCTTTGGGGCTCTTCAACCAGGAGTGAGGCTTGCAGATTCGAGACGCTACATTTCGCCGTGCCCAAGTGGCACGCTAGCAGACAATTGATAAAAGCAGCCCTGCGAACAGCAACAGCTTACATCTTGTGGTTGCTGTCACGCGCCGCAAACCTTGAATTGCATGGGACGGTGAGGAAGCCTGAATGTTGACCCGAGCTATGCCGGGCAGTGGGATGCCCCTCTACGTCTTGTCTTCCGCCAAGCATCATGGCCCATGAGCTTGCGCCACCAAGACGCTCCTTCCAAATCAAGGTCAGGTACTGCTTCATGGATTCTTAGCCTTTGGACTTTGGCATCCATGATGAGCCAAGGTCCTGCCGGTATTCAGTGTGAAAAATGCTTTCGACGGGTGCAGAACAGTCCAAAGCCCCGCAACTACATGAACTTGCTGGAATCTTTGGAGCCCCAATGATTACGGAGACCGGGTAAACCAGGGTGCTTCAAGGGCCACCCTCCGAACACAGGGGCACGGGTAGCTAGAGCAATCAGAGTTCCGTACCTAGAACAACATGAACCTGGCAGGATGAGACCCGAGCCTCCACTGCCGGGCGCACGGCGTAAACAAGGACCTGCTCTAGCAACTTCTGTGGAGTTGTTCGTGGTTTTGTACTTGAGCCTGGTCCGCTTTCATATGAATGCTGACTCGACAGCACCACTCCTTACACATTCAGTCCTACTACGTACCTACTTCCTGCATCTTCCCCCCTATGCGGAACCCGGTTCCCCTAAGACCCATTCCTGGGGCCCTGGCCAGGTTGTCAGAGCCCCGGAGCGCCGTGAAGGCCCCCTGCACTAGGAGCCTGTCCCGCTCCTGCCAAAGCCGCTGGAAACTCCCTATAACATGTAGTAGCAGTTTTTTACTCGTTTCAAGACCACTTCATGGGCGTTTACTCATATAGGAATATACTTACCATGGTTCCTATATTCCATTATATGCATAGTGAATGCAAGCTATGACTGTTGTTCTCATGGGCAAGAACCAGCAAAGTACTTCCAAAGGTCTGCTCCTTTTAGAACAACCAACTCGGGCCGTGCGTTTGGGAACCCTGGACCCGGACCCCATGTCCACCAGCCATTTGCCACTAAAATTTTCCCAATGTGTCATTCTGGGCTTTTGCCTGGTCCCCACGGAACTGCGACTGTCCCACACAAGCGCCTCGGGAGTGGTTGCCCACTTGTACTGCAGCGCCATGTATGCCAGTACTAGGAGTTGCACCACAACCTGCACCATGGGGCTTCTATGGGTTTCTCCAGGGAAGTAACGGGCAATGGCTGCTTTGTTGGGGTTCTTGTGGCTTTCTCCTTCTGACTGAGGGTCAGCTGGGCCTAAGCTACAAGGTCAGCTTCAGCCGGCTTTTTGAAGGACCGCAACCTGGAACGAGCAACGAAGGGCAAATTGTCATCGCTCGCCTGCATCAGCCCCACTCCGAGACCCACAAGCCAGGCGGAGACGAACCAAAGCTCGAAGTTGCACTTGTTGGCAATGACTGGGAATCTGAGTTGCAAGCCCTAGCTTGGAGATGGTTTCCCCTCAGAAGATCTGGGAGCGCAAGCTAGGCTGACCACACGAAACTGACATGCCCAGGCACGTAGCATCTTGGTACGTGTCCGTGAGCAGGATGAAAGAGCAAAGGGCCCTGGAGATGCAAGCCCACCCCCCCCCAGAGTTGCTGCGCATTCAGGGCTAATCTTGCCAGTCTTCCAGAACTTTGAGAGACTTAAACCTTCCTAACTTCAGGCCGCGTAGAACTTTCGGGGGTTTTGTGGGGTAAAGAAATCAGAAGAGCCTGAAGAGCAGACGCCAGCGAAAGAGGTAGCAGAAAGAGCCTGAGAGCCTCAGTTGCAATCAGAAGTTTGAGGTGGCTGGGAAATGGCTGAGGTACCATTTAGAATTCTCATTTCTATGCTGAGTCTTAGAACTGTAAGATGCTATTCGCCAACAACACCAGTAACTTTTACTGGGCTTTCAAAATCAAGGATGCCTTTTCAGGGGGGCCGTAAGTAAGCAGGATCCGAGCATGCGGGGTACTTGTATGTAAGAGAGCCTCAGTTTAGGGATCTCCCCGCGAAATCCGATATCATCATGACCAGGTGCTTGCACCTGGGTGCTTATAAGCTGCTTATGGTGCAGGGTTTTGGGGAAGATCTGGAAAATTACCACAACCACGCGACACTTCGACAGAGCCCCCATCCCAACCGGCATCAGAACTTTAACCTCAAGACTTTTCGGGATTGCACTCTTCAACAAGAATCATACACGATGCTGGGGGAACCCCCTTGGGCCCAGGACCTTCTATCTGCAGATCTATGCCCCAAAGCTTCTAACCGAGCCACTTGCCGCCAAGCAGGCGAAGCAAGATCATGGACATGAGATTGGTGAGGCACATGTACCTCCAGCATCCAAAGCACAGAATCCGAAGCAAGAAGGGAGAAAGATCCGAGATTCTATCCTCAGGGACTCTGAGATAAAAAGGGATCATCAGGAAATTATGAGGGATCGAAAGTCTCATCTCTTAGATCTCCCGGCCGGCCTGGGCATGGGACTGTGAGACCCCACACAGCTGAACAGGGATGAATCAGGCTCAAGGTAAACATGCTGGCTGTTTCTTTGAAATTCCTGGGGCCATACCTGGCCGTGGGACCCGCGTGGAGCGTAGATTCTTCTGCGGCTTCTGTAGACAGGGACGAAACGAGTTCGAAACTATTCCCAGACCGCAAGATGCAGCTATGGCACCCCAACCAAGCGCCATGGATGAAGCTTGGGAAGCCCTGATCACAGCCTCAGATGGCAGCGAAGGCCTGCCACTACGGCACATCGGGTGATCAGGCTAGGCCCAGTGGAAACCAACAAGTATCGTTAGCGTGCGCTTTAACCGAGCAAACGAGGCATTATGATTGGCAAGCCTGCTCCTAGCTGCGTACCTCGACTTTGCTATACTACTGTAGGAGATGTCAAACCTCAGACTTAGGATCTCTGGAGCCCAAACCCGTCCTTTATGCCATCACGCTTCAACAAGCGGAGAAGCAGGGAAGCGACGCTGAACGGAGTAGGAGTTGCAACATCATTCAAGGCTTCTGAGAGATAGCCTGATACCTATTCTCCTCAAAAGCGCACTTCTGCAATTCTGCTGAGACAAAAAATGCAAAGGGCAGCCAAGCCACTGGTCATCAGTTGGTAGCCCGCCTCAAAGTCAAGTCAAAGGCGACCAAATAGGGCTTAGGGATGTTGCGGTTTGGGGTTAGCGGCTAGCGGGGATGAGGGGTTTAGGGACCAGGTGACGCTGCAGCCCCTAGCAGCTGACAAGACCTCCAGATACCCTCAGGCTGCATTAAGCCTTCAGGCTTTGGGCATGCAAGGTTAGTGGCCAGGCTTGCAGCTTCAGGGCAACTGTCCTGGAGTTGGAATAAGTTAAGGGGGGTTGAGTGCAAGTTGCCTTCAGAGACCACCCACAGCAATGCTAGGTGCTTGCCAGGCGCGTATGGCAGGCAGGCAGCTGCCAGCAGGTTGCAGAAGTATTGCAATCCTTGATGCGATGCACGGAAACTGCAGATGCTGTAAGTGTAGTTGTTTCTGCCGCCCTCAGGTCACACGGGAGGTACTAAAAGACGATTCGGCAGTCTTACATCTTCCTCATACAGTCCACGGCCCAGCACCTAACACCACCTCCATGACCGCAACCGCAACCACTACGGTCACCGCCACCACCACTACAACAACAAGTCTCGCTAGGGCGATCATGACGTTTGCTTTGCTAAGTCTGATTCTTGCTCTTGATTAAAGCTTCAGTAGTGGAGGGAAGCTCACCTATTTGGAATCCGGGCTTCCGAGAAATACTCGCGCTGTGCGGCTCGTCATCTTTCGGAGCAGCTGCCTGGCCACCTTTGGTGCATCGGCAAATGTTGAAGCATTTTTCAGAAGGTCAGCAGCCCTGCACTGCATTTTGAAAACATCGTGCGATTCCTCTTAGTCACAGGGTTTCCGCAACACGGCATGCATACATAGTTTGACACACTCATACTACCCTAGTTGGGGGCTGTACCTGCTAAACTTACTAGCACCTGTTGCAGCGGGATTGCATGGCCAGGGGAGCAGGTATGTTGAGACCGTGCATGAACGGGTTGTCTTTCAAGCAAATGTCTTTAGATCAGTCTAGTAGGCGATATGGAGTTCTCGAAGTTCAAGTTTTCTCTTCCCCTGATTATTTATAACCGTCTCCCCTCGCGCCAGCTAAACCCCCCTCGGACTATTAATTTGAGCGAGGTGTTTACTAGAAAAAGATTGAATGATTGCAAGGAAAGGCGCGGACAAATTTAGGAAGGACTGTTAAAAGAGTCTGCAGCCGAGACAACATCTGAAAAGCTTCTGCTTCCCCAACACGCCAATCGTGCTCTGGATAAATTATTTGGGCTTAGAGATGTTCAAGGCAAACCTCGGGTCGAACTTCTCCAGACGCGCACCCCACACATGCACCCTTGGGAGTCCTTTCTATACCCAAAGAGACTTGCACATAATGTTTCACCTCGCATGCTAGATTGTCAATAGTATTGTCCCTTCTTAGACTAATTTAGATATTAGGGTTGTATTACAGAAGGAACCCCAACAAATCCATTATTTTGACAACCCTTCCCCTAAGGCTCCAAATAGCTCGATGCAGGTCACATTTACAGACTTCTGCAACCCCAAAATAACCCCTATTTGACCCCCATGTGACCCTATATAATCCCCATAATCCTTAAATACATAATCCCATTCGTAGACATGGAGGTTTAGGGTTTACAGACGGCCTAACTCCGTCTGTCGGCACCTCGAGGTGCAGAGTTTTGAGCTCCGCCTCCTCGGCGTCCTGGGAGAGGTTAGGGTTTGGGGTTTAGGACTTAGGATTCAGGGTTTAAGCTTTGGGGTTTACGACCTAGGATTTAGGGCTTAGGGTTTAGGATTTAGGACTTAGGATTTATGGTTTAAGACTTAGGGTTTAGGGTTTTGGATTTAGGCTTGTGGGTCTAATAAGATTTGCGATGCCTAGGACACTCATACTAATATAACGGAAGTGTGGAGGAGTGCTCCTGCATTCCGCGGGCAGGTCTGGGGACAACTACCTGATGCCTAAACCCCAAACCCACGCGCGCAACCCTGAACCTAAAACCCATGAACCGCCTTTGCATCCAGGACCCCTGATGATACCCGCAAACCCTAAGCCCAACCCCAAAACCCCTCCCCCGGCCTCCGAGGTTCGCCGTCCCAGCAGCGCCCTGCCGCATCGCTCCACCAAGTCCTAGTGGAAAAGATGTTCATGCAGGAAGGTTACAGGAGATATACGCGGATCGAAGAAGGATTCTATGGGCCCCTCGTAAGCACTACAGATGGGAAAGCATGCGCCCCCTTTTAAGGGGCTCTGCTATATTGACTTGGAAGTGTATGCGGGGCCCTCTCTTTTGAGAAATTGCTGTCTCAAGGCTGCCGGAATGTTTACACATAGCTCCTGCTCTTTCACTGCGGCTGTGGCAGAGTACGTGCTTGTCGTTCTTAATGAGTCAAAATCATAATTGCAAACAAGCTGTGGGATTTTGCGGGTGGTAGGCTTTGAGGTGTAGAGTTGCTATTCCAACTAGATACGGTTCAGAACACAAGACCCTTCCATCAACCAGATTGCTCAAACTTCTGCTGTGTTTGATGTCCGTGCTTCAGATCAAGTCGGAGCAAGCTAGGGCTTTTGAACAAGCCCTGCACACGAACCCCGGGTCCCTAAATCCTACCTCTAAATCAACACTCCCTAAACCCTAGGCCCTAGCCCCTAAAGTCCTGAAACCCCAACCCCCAAACTCCTGACCCCGACCCCCAAACGGGAATCCCTAGATCCTAAACCCCGGAATCCTAATCCACCTAAACTTTACATTGCCCCAAAACACCGATCCTTAAATCCTAAAGCCCTGTAATGAAACCTTCAACCTTGGACCCTAAACCCCTAAACCCTAAATCCGAAACCCTTAAACCCTACGCAAATCCTAAAACCCTAAAACCCTAAACCCTAAACCCTAAAACCCCTGCAGTCCAGGAGATCCATCCCTGGAGCACGGCCCTTGGCTTTTACCAGAGCTGCTGGCTGCTGCTGCACAGAGGCCTGACTCTGATCGTGAAGGTTCTTTAAAGCCCGTTGTGGTGTTCTTATCGGACCTTTTCTCGTTGTGGTTTACGGGTTTAGCAATGTAGGCTATTTGGCAATGTGGGCTTTTTGCGGCTTGGTACACTTCTCAATTCATGCATGATGTAGGGCTTGGGGGCTCAGAGTTGAGGCATGTTCAAGGGTTCAGGGTGGGACTGAGCAGAAACGCAAGATGCTGAGACATAGCTCTTTCGCTGCAGCATGGGTTGGGTTCTCTACTCCCCGAAGTTTCCCGACCATTGCTGCACAAGCTTTTTGAACTCTCTTCGCTTCTTAGGCCCTCAGTCTCTGAAAGGTCAGGCCGCTTTTGGGAAGCCTTTTGTGGCTTAGCTTCTACTGAACACTAATGCACATTCAAAGCATTTACAGAGCTGACTTCCAAGGAGTTACTTCTTTTTCTGCCTACCCAGGGTTCAGGGCCTGTGCCCAGGGCCCGCCAGCAGCCATCCGCCAGTGGGAGGAAGCCATGCGCTGGCGCCAACTCGGAAGCTCTGCCTCTCAAAGCCAGCATGCAAAG